GGGGGCGCGGGGGGCGCGAGGGGGCGGCGCCATGTTGGGAAGGTCGCGGCCGTTCCCGCCTCAGGGGCTCTGAGGGCAGCGCTGCAAAAACCTGGATTAGCGTGGAAATCGAGGGAAAAGCGGTTTATAATTGACTTTTAATTTTATTTTTGTTTTGTTTTGTGGAAAAATCCAGTGTAAAATGGAAGTTGCGGAAAAATCGATTTAAAATATATCTATTTTTTGGCCATATTTTTAGTAGAAAAATCCAGTGTAAAATGGAAGTTGCGAAAAAATCAGTTTAAATAAATAAATAAATAAATAAATATCTTTATATATTCCATATTTTTGTTGAGACAATACAGTGTAAAATGGAAGCTGTAGAAAAGATCAGTTTATATATATATGTGTGTGTGTGTGTGTGTGTGTGTGTGTGTATGCATGTAGGTCTGTATATGTATATATTTTCCCCATAATTTTGGTGAGAAAATCCAGTTTAAAATGGAAGTTGTGGAAAAGTCAGTTTAAAATAGATTTATTTTTTTTTGGCCATATTTTTGGTTAGAAAATCAGTTTAAAATGGAAGCTGTGGGAAAATCAGTTTAAAATAATTTTTGGGTTTTTTTTTTTTTTGCCATATTTTTGGCGGGAAAAAACAGTTTAAAGTGGAAATTGCAGAAAAAACAATTTTAAATATTATTTTTTTGCCATATTTTTGGTGAGAAAATCCAGTTTAAAATGGAAATTGCTGGAAAATGCCTTTTAAAATAGAAATTTTGAAAAGGGAAAAGCCTGTTTAAAATAGTTTTGGTGGGGTTTTTTTGCGAAAAATCATATTTAGAATGGATTTTTCTTATATTGTTTTGGTGGGAAAATCCCTTTTGAAGTGGAAATCATGGAAAAAAGCCAGTTCAAAATGGAAATGTTTCCCTTATTTTTTTGGTGGAAAAAATACAGTTCAAAACTTTTTTTTTTTTTTTTTTTTTTTATTTTTTCTAAGATGCAGCACAAGAGGGAATTCCCCCCCCCTTTTTTTGTGGAAGAACCAGGCTTAAAATTGACTTTTTCCCCCTATTTTGGTGGAAAGATCTATTTAAAATTTTATTTCCCCCCATTTTATGTGGAATTCACTGAATTCCAAGTGTCCCGAGGCTGTCATTGGGACTTAAGGATGTGAAAGGCCTTTTCCAATGTAAACAATTCCATGCTTTAGGCAGCTGAAAAAAAGAGAAGAATTTAAAACACAAAGGAGAAAAGAGCTGAGGGAATTAATAAAAATTTCTATAATCTGTGGGGGTTTTGAGTCTTGAGGCAGAACTTGATTCCCTGAAGCTGTCGGATTTGTTTTTCCTTAGGAATGACGTGGAAAACACAACGGGAACAGGCACGAGAAGAGTCCCCAGAAGTTATTTATGAGCAGCCTGGAAAGCAAAATATTTTCAGGTATTTCCCTTCATTAAGGGAGAATTTGTGTTTATTCTGTGCTCAGTGCTGGGGGTCTGCAGCATCAAAAAAAATTCAAAAAACTGGGCTTTAAATTAATCACCCCACAAGAATATCCTTGGATCGCTGCAGGAGGAAGCTCCTGGAGAAAGGTGGATATTTCCAAGGCCACGGATGACCCACCAATATTTCCAATATTTCCACGTGCTCCTGTTGGTTTGGAATGGGCTGATCCAGACATGGGATTGTGAAAATTCCCAAAATCCCTGGGTTTTGGTGGCTGTTGAGTGCTGGCATGCTGTGGTCTCTTTTATTATTTATAATATTATATTTATTACTCTTTTATTCCTCACCTCTGTGAGGAGCTGGGGGCACTCAGGAACAGCGTGGATGTTCGTTTGGGATGGATTGGAAATTATCCAGAGGTTCATTTCCCAGTGGGAACAATGCAACCCTTTTTCTCTGGAAAACTGAGCACCAGCACAGCACACACCTCCCTGGAAATCCAGGCTGTTCTGGGCCATAATCCTGCGTGAAAAGGTTGGGAAAAGACTTAACTGGGAATGCAGATGGGAATGCTGGTCAGGAAATGCTAAATTCAGTCTTGGGGAAAAGTTTAAATGTCCCCCATTCCTGGGTCTGGGAAGGGGAAATCACAGAAAAAATCACAGAATCCTGGAATGGGCTGGCTTGGAAGGGAATTTAGGGAATTTTGGGATCATCCACCCCCTGCCACGGGCAGAGACACCTTCCATTATCCCAGATTCCTCCAAGCTGGCCTTGGACACTGCCAGGGATGAGGAGTCTGCAACCTCTGGGACAACCTGGGGAAAAAAACCCACTGACTTTGAGAGACCACAAACAGCATTTTCCAAACATTCACCACACAGATGGGAGGGGGAAGAGCACTGCAGCTCCTCATCCTTTTTCTTCTCTCCCTCTTTTCCAGATTAAAAAGGAAAACGGCATCCACTGCTCTCCCTGAGGTGTGTCCTTGCAGCAGGGATTTGTCAGGAGCCTGCACTGAGCCGTCTCTGCGCGGCTCATGGAGAACCAGGATGGTTTTCCCCTACATCCACGGGGAATTTTGGCACAAAAGTGGGCTTGTTTTAAGTGGCCTGGGCCAGGCTCTTCCTTCCATGGCTTCTTTGGAGCCAACCAAAACCAAGGTTGAATTTGGGGGTGGTTCCTGTAGTGTTAGAGACTGCGGTCCCCAAAATCCGTCATTGCTCTGGAGAGCTGCTGCTGGAGGGGATTTTGGATTCCTGCAGCATCTCCCAGCGCTTGTCAGGGCTCTACAAACACACATTTCTGGTCTTTCTTTCGAGTATTCCCTCTCTCCAGTTTGGATCCTTACATGTAGTCTCTTTGCAGGCACTCCTCAGACATTTCCAGCTTGTTTTCACTTCTTATTTTCAAATATATTTGTATAAAGGTGGATATAGTTTGGTCACAATGATTTGGGAACTCCAAACATCTCGTGTACAATTAACGGGGAGACAAAGATCAGGCTGAGGAAGGTGAAAACGAGCTGGGAGCTCCCTGGTTGTGCCCTCCCATCCCCACATCTTGCACCAAGCTGGTTTTCACACCAGAGAGGAATTTTTTCCAGTCAGTTTTTAGGACAGGGATTGCCTGACTCCAGTCAGGCTCATTTCCATCTTGGTGGCTGCTGGAGCACCTGATAATCCCAGTCCTGGAGTGTGAGAAACGAGTCTTACTCTTTAAAATTTTAAAAGTTTCATAAGGGATAAAAAAGGAATTTTACAGCGCTGGGTGCATATCCAGAGTTAGAGGCACTCTGGTTAACTATAACTCTTCTTATATACATTTTATTGCATTGATTAAATGTATATTAATGAAGATTATACATATTCAAACTTGGTTTTTTTGAGTTCTTTTATGTGTTTCTGGGAATTCTTTAGCTTGGTTTGGCTCCTGACCTGTCGTGCAAAAGTGTAATTTGATTTTTGAGAGTCGCTATTTCTTCACAATGACAAATGAGGAGTTACTGATAATCAAATGCTCAGTGGCAGAAGCCTTCACATCTTCTTTTTTGATGTTATTTGTGTGGTTCTTTTAGTGTTGTCTAATCATACAGGGTTTTTTAACTACAATAGTTTTAACTATTTCCACAAATTTGAGTTATTCTCACTATTGTCAGCTACAAAAGCATCAGCTACTTCTGAAAAAAATTAAAATGCACAACACAGTTTTTATTTAATATTTTGCAAAAGCCTAAACTATAATATATGTTAATCACACAAATATATTTATATATATGAGCTACACAGGGCCAGGACTTTGGCCACAAAAGCTGACAAATTATACTATATTAAAACCAGTGAATATATTTAATATACCCACACTGTTTTACCCTTTATCTAGCACACCAGAATCACTGAGTTTTCCCAGTTTCCTCACACCCCTTTCTGTGGCCTTTAGCCCAAATTCCTGAGGGAATTTGAATGCTGATTTCCCATGTGAGGAGCTTACATTTCTGCAGCCAGGCTAAGGTTTAATTTGCTTTCTCAGCAAGATCTCAAATCAAAGATTGATCAGAGATTGATCAGAGATTGATAATCCTGTAGCTAAACAAGATATTCACACTGCTCGAAGCCCCTGCACACGTTTCTGCAGTGGAATCCCACCCTGAGCTGCCCTCTCAGGTGACTGATCCCAGCACTGATGCAGATGTTCAGATTTGGGGAAGATCCAAAGTTTGAGAAGGAAAACTGCAGCTTGGAGGTGTTAATTGTCACCTCGTGCTGATGAAAGGGCAGCAGCCTGGGGAAGGGAGGAAAGCAACAAGAATAACAGGTTTAAAACGTGCAACAATAGTAAATATTAAATTTATTATTAAAATAAATATTAAATTAAATATTAAAATAAACATTAGAATAAATATTAAATTAAACATGAAAATAAATATTAAAATAAATATTAAGTGAAAAAATAAATATTAAAATAAATATTAAAACAAATATTAAAATAAATATTGGAATAAACATTGAAATAAATATTAAAATAAATGTTAACATAGATATTAACATAGATATTAAAATAAATATTAACATAGATATTAACATAAATATAAAAATAAATATAAAAAAATATTAAAATAAATATTAAAATAAATATTAAAATAAATATTAAAAGGATGGAAGTAGTGAGTTTTGTTACCTAAAGAGCTGGAATTTTAAGGGAATGGGGATATAACAATTCTCACCTCATGGAAGATCAGTGGGTTCAGGTGAGCTGACATGAATTCCATGGGAATTGGAAAAGTCCTGGAGCCACCTGAGAGCTGGAGGAGCCCAGGATGTGCCAAGGGACACCGGGGAAATCACCAATGTGAATCCCACAGACATCTCCTTCCATCTCCTCTCCTGGAGAAGCTTGGAGGAAAGAACTTTTAACACCTACTGAAGCATTCTGAGAGACCCCAGCTGTGGTTCCAGGGGAGAAAATCAAAATATCAGCAGCCAGTGTAAGAGCTGGGAGTCCTAGCCCCATGTAGATCATATATATATAAATATATATATGTATATATTAGTATGATGACAACACCGATGTTGGAGTTTAAAGTTGTATCAGTGAAGCAATTAACTCACAGTAATTATTGCAGTTGGGCTTTGCTGGAGTTTCCTCGGTGCTGATGTGGCCAACACACCCAAAAAAGGCTTTAAATGTGGATTATCTCACCTTGCTTTGCACTTTTGTAGCAAAAAGCTGAGCTGCTCATGATGGGATCACCCTAGGGATAAAAAGGAGATGGGAAACAGGAATGTGAATTATGGACACTCCCAAAAAAACTCGGATGTTTCTTTGCCACACTTGTGGCAAAATAAAATTCCTTAATTCCTTAAATTAAGTCGTTCCTGGAAAAAATTAATTTGCTTTTTTAAGACTTTTAAAATTTTTTTTAAAAAATTTCTTTATAGTATGAAAAGGAAAGGTATGTAGAATAAATAAATTTAAAAAAAATAAAATAAATTAAGAAAAATAAATAAAATTAAATCAATTAAATAAATAAAAAGGTTTGTAGAATAAATATTATCATTATATAATAATATATTCATTATAATGAATGTTATGTATAAGGTAATAATATATTCATTATAATGAATGTTATGTATAAGGTTAGAATATAGTTTTATAACTAATTATAATAATATAATAATACAAATATAATAATATAATATAATAAATATAATAATATAACTAATCATTTTATTTTTGTTATTGATGACATTTAGAAATAGTGGTATAATACACATATATGTTAGGCTATAACATGATATTAAAGCACAGTTTTATATAATTTTATAATGTTTATATAACCCAGAGACTGAAAAGACAGCCAGAGACCCCCCTGCATTCTTAAAATTATCTTTTCCTCCAAGATCTCCAAGAGAAGGATTTATTTCACCCGTTATGAGAGGATCTAAAACCCCGTGGCACCAAGAAGATTGATCTATTGGGAAGGGGGAAAGGTTTCAGCAAAAGCCTAAACTATAAATATTATAAAATATTTTATTATTATTATATTATATTTATCTTATAAATATATAAAAATATATAAACATATAAATATATTTTATATTTATAGTATATTTAATTATATAAAAATATTATGAAAATTACAAATTATTAAATAAAAACTGTGTTGTGCATTGTAACTTTTTGCAGAAGTAGCTGATGCCTTTGCTTTTGTAGCTGACAATAGTGAGAATAACTCAAATTTGTGGAAATAGTTAAAACTATGATAGTTAAAAAAATCTGTAGGATTAGACAACACTAAAAAAACCACACAAATAACATCAAAAAAAAGATGTGAAGGCTTCTGCCACTGAGCATTTGATTATCAGTAACTCCTCATTTGTCGTTGTGAAGAAATAGCGACTCTCAAAAATCAAATTACACTTTTGCACGACAGGTCAGGAGCCAAACCAAGCTAAAGAATTCCCAGAAACACATAAAAGAATTCAAAAAACCCAAGTTTGAATATGTATAATCTTCATTAATATACATTTAATCCATACAATAAAATGTATATAAGAAGAGTTATAATTACCAAGGGTGCCTCTAATTCTGGCTGTGCATCCAGCGCTGTAAAATCTGTTCTGGGGTGACTTTATGATACTGGTATTCCCAATTTCCTGTTTTATATATATATATATATATTATATATTAAGTTCTGCACCTTTAAAGGTTATCTTTTGGAGCTAAGAAAGTTGAAATGCTTTCTGTTTTTCAGGTGATGGGAGTGGAAAAGGAGGAGGAATTGATAACAGAATTGATAAAATTGCAGATTTCTAAGAAAACACAGCTACTCCTGGGACAGTTCCCAAAGGGCAAACTGTAATTATGAGGTACTCCCTCAAATATTGTATTTAATTTCAGGAATTTCTTCCTGATAAAGTATCTCAGGAGCCAAGAAGTGACAGAAGATTTCCAGGACCCATCTCAGGCCGTGTCATTTGAGAGGAGTTGGACCCGATGCCAAACTCTGTGGTTACAACTGGAGTAAGACCAAGAGCTTGGAAAGCTTCAGTACAAGCCAGCAGAAGACACCTTTTCCCCTGGGTGTTCCCTGTGTGAAAAACAGGGTTCAAATATTTGTATATAGAATCTTAAAGTTTAATAAAAAGGCAATTAGGAGATAAAAATAAAGTAAAATATACAGATATGGCCGGGTGTCTAATAAAGGATTGTCCCTTAAAAACAGAACCTTATTACATATCCATAAATTCTCATACATATTCAGACTTTCTTTTTAAGTTTTTTTGATATTCCTTTGTTTAGTTTTTACCTTTCCCCCTTCCCAATAGATCAATCTTCTTGGTGCCACAGGGTTTTAGATCCTCTCATAACGGGTGAAATAAATCCTTCTCTTGGAGATCTTGGAGGAAAAGATAATTTTAAGAATGCAGAGGGTCTCTGACTGTCTTTTCAGTCTCTGGGTTATATAAACATTATAAAATTATATAAAACTGTGCTTTAATATCATGTTATGGTCTAATATATATGTGTATTATACCACTATTTCTAAATGTCATCAATAACAAAAATAAAACTATATTAGTTATATTATTACATTTATTATATTATATTATTATATTTATATTATTATTATATTATTATATTTATAGTTATAAAACTATATTCTAACCTTATACATAACATTCATTATAATGAATATATTATTATATAATGATAATATTTATTCTACAAACCTTTTTATTTTTTTAAAATTTTGTTTATTTTTCTTAATTTATTTTATTTTTTTAAACTTATTTATTTATTCTACATACCTTTCCATACTATAAAGAAATTTAAAAAAAATTTTAAAAGTCTTAAAAAAGCAAATTAATTTTTTCCAGGAACGACTTAATTTAAGGAATTAAGGAATTTTATTTTGCCACAAGTGTGGCAAAGAAACATCCGAGTTTTTTGGGAGTGTCCATAATTCACATTCCTGTTTCCCATCTCCTTTTTATCCCTAGGGAGATCCCAGCATGAGCAGCTCAGCTTTTTGCTACAAAAGTGCAAAGCAAGGTGAGATAATCCACATTTAAAGCCTTTTTTGGGTGTGTTGGCCACATCAGCACCGAGGAAACTCCAGCAAAGCCCAACTGCAATAATTACTGTGAGTTAATTGCTTCACTGATACAACTTTGAACTCCAACATCGGTGTTGTAACTTCTGATTTAACATCTCAGCCTGCACAGAAAACTCTAATTCCAGGCTGATTATCTCCATCCTTCACAGAACAGGCTCTCCCTATTAAATGATGTGGGAAAAGTGCCCCCAGGAGCTGCGTGACCTACTTAAATCATCCTGAGAGAGTGAGAAAAAAAAAAAAAGAAATCAATTTTGAAGTTCAATGTGATTTTCTGCTTGTACTGAACAGCTTTAAGCAATTTTGCTTCCTTCTATTATCCTTGTGCTGCTGTTTCCCTACTGACATTTCCTGTAGGATTGTAGCAGCACTTGGCCTATCCTCGTCTTTTCTGCTATTTTAAAAATACTCAAAAATTCAGCATTAAGTGCAGGTGAACTTTTGAACATTTAGGTCAAGAATTTCCACCAAAGATCCCCCCTCGTGGCACAGGATTGTGGCCATTCCCAGGCTGCAGCCATGGGTTCCATTAAATATTTAATTTTTCTTACACATTTCTCTCTTTTGGTGCCAGTTACAGCTCCAAGGCAAATCTGACACTTTTTTTTTTGCATAAATATTTGGTTTGCTTTAGCTTCGTTGTGAATGTATCAGACTTTAAATTATAATAAATTTAAATATAATGTAACATAATGTAACATAATATAATATAATGTAATATTATGTAATATAATGTAACATAATGTAATATAATGTAACACAATATAACACAGCATAACACAATATAATATAACACAATATAATACAATATAACACAATATAATACAATACAATATAACACAATATAATACAATACAATATAACACAATACAATATAATACAATACAATATAATATATATATTTATTATATATATAAATAATAAATACATTTAAATTTAAAACTTCCATTTGATTGTTTCTCCTAAATTCATGTGGCAATAACCTAAAAGGAACACAGCCATTTTAAAGGCCTCTATTTTATTTTAAACTCTTTAAATATTTTTTTAACAAAATTATTTGCAGCCCAAACAAAAAAAAAATTAAATAATCAAGGAACAAGGTGTTTTCTGCCCAGGATTCTTTCATGGTTTGAGGCTGCTGAGATGGGAAGGCCCTAAAAGAAGGAGAATTCCTGAATTCCCTGAATATTCCCAGGAAAACATTGGATAATCACACAGTGAAGAACACACCAGGATGTAACAAACCCATCCCAGTGGTTGAACTGGGAGACTTTGGTACCTGCAGGTGTCCTGGAACCTGCCCAACAACCACTCCTTCCAGTCCTAAAATTTTATTCCTTTTGCTCTTTTGTATGGCAGCTACAAAAGCAAAAGAGAGAGATTAAAAAAAAAAAAACCAGCTTAAGTCATTTTTAAAAAATATACAGAAAGTTTGCAAAGCAGAGATTTATTAGAAGATGGTAAAATTGAGAGTTTTATGTGCTTGAAATGGCACCAGGCGAGGATAGTGAAAAATGAGTGAAGGATAGAGGAGATAACCACTGAAAACTTGATTTTATTTCCCTCTGCTGACACTATTTAGCGCCAACATTTAAAAAAACTCTTTTTTTTTAAGGAAGTTTTCCTTTGAAAATTCTCCATGGGAACCTCTTTGTTATGGAGATACCTTTCAAGAGGAAAAGAGTCCTCAGCTCTCCATCCTCCCCTGGAGCTGCGAGGGAACAGCCAGGGCAGCTCCTCAAATGAGAACTGGGACAAAAGGATCCCTTCCCAAGCCTTTCTTCCACATCCAGAAATTCCCTGTGAAATCCCTGTGAAATCCAGAAATAATGGGGAAGGAGAAACCCCTGCAATCCAGAAATGCTGGCTGAAAGGAAGGGAAAGGACAGGAAGAAGCGTGATACACCCTCATTCCAAATGGGGTGAAAAATATTAATTATCAAATTGTATATATTTATATTTATCTTTATCTATTTATATTTATCTTCATTTATATTTATCTTTATCTGTATTTTTATATTTATATTGTATAATTTATATATAAATTATATATATAAATAATTTATATTGTTTATATCTTTATATCTATACTTTTATCTCTATATTCTATATATTTTTATATACTTAAATATATATTTATGTTTTCCATATTTATATTATTTATATTGTATAATATATATTTATATTTCTATGTATTATATTTATATTTTATAATTATATTATATAATTATATTGTATAATTTATATTATATATTATTATTTATATTGTATATATGATATAATTTATATTATTTTATAGATATAATTATATATATTATATATATATTTTTCTATTTTGTATTATCATTTATATTTATATTATTTACCTTCTATAATCTATACCTTTTATATTTATATTGTATAATTTATGTTATTTATGTTTATATTTAAAATTTTTGTTTTATAATTAATATTTATATTTTATAATTTATATTATTTCTCTAGATATATTTATAGTACAGATTTATATTTAATTTTTATATATTTATATTTTATATTATTTATATTATATAATATATAATATATAATATATAATATATAATATATAGTATATAATATATAGTATATAATATATAATAAATGATATTTTATAATTTATATTTATATATATTTTATATATTTATATTTTATACTTATATAATTATATACACTTATATTTCATAATTTATTTTTATAATTTATATTACTTATATTTATATTTATCTCTTCCACTTCCATCACAGAACAGTCCTGTGACTCTCCCCACCCACACACACCCCAACATCTCCTGTATTTTTAACAGCAGGGTTCTGCTGCACAACTTCCTGCAGGAAACGTGAGGCAACAGAGCACAGGAAACCCCAAAACTACAGAAATTTAACTCCCTGCAAGGCCTGACACGCAGAACAACACAATTTCCTCGTGCCATAAAAATAGGCATCTCCAAATTGCAGATTCCTCTCATAAAAATAGAATTTGTGCAGAGCAGGATTTATTCATCATAAACTCAGCTTAAATCCTGCACCCCAGAAAAGCCCATCTGAGAACCAAATTCTTGGGTCAAAGAAATGAATATATTTATTAAGTAATTTTTTTTTTTCTTGGGTTAAAGATATAAATATATTTGTTAATTATTTAAGTAAATTTTTTTTCTTTAGGTTAGAGAAATGAATATATTTATTAATTATTTAAGTAATTTTTTTTTTCATGGGTTAAAGAAATTAATATGTTTATCAATTATTTAAGTATTTTTTTCTTGGGTTAAAGAAGTGAATATATTTATTAATTATTTAAGTATTTTTTTTTCTTGGGTTAAAGAAATTAATATATTTATTAATTATTTAAGTAAATTTTTTTCTTGGGTCAAAGAAATGAATATATTTATTAATTATTTAATTATTTTTTTTAAAAAAATTATTATTTAATTAAAGAACACAGCAATTTTAAAGGCCTCTATTTTATTTTAAGGTCATTAAATATTTTTTAACAAAGTTATTTGCAGACAAAAAAAAAATAAAAAATTAAAAAATCAAGGAACAAGGTGTTTTCTCCCCAGGATTCTTTCATGGTTTGAGGCTGTTGAGATGGGAAGGCCCTAAAAGAAGCAGAACTCCTGAATTCCCTGAATATTCCCAGCACTTTTAAGCAAATCCTGCCATTTGAAACCCAAAATTTGCTTTAGAGATGTCTTTATTAACCACTAAGGAGATGGAATTACACACAAAATATGGAATTACACACAAAACTCAGCTGAGAGGTAAAAGGAAAAAGGAGGGAGGGGGAAAAAGGAAAAAAAATGTTTCATTTCTCACTTTGGGGTTGTTGGGAAGGGTTTTTTCATCTGCTGTCAAAAAAGTGAATGGCAACTTTTCAGATCCACTGAAATCTTTGCTCTTCACTGGTCACCATCTGATGTGTCCAGTGGCATCGTGCTGAAATCAGAATTTTTGTGTAAGAGAGAACAAATAATATTATTATATTTAATATTTTATTTAAATATTTATTAATTTTATTAATTTTTATTTTTTATTTATTTATTTTTAAAATATTTATTAATTTTAAGAAATTGAATAGTTTTAATATTTTATTTTTAGATTTAATTTTATTTTTTATATTTTATATTAATATAAAATAGGTACTTTATAGATTTTATATAAATAAAAAAATATAAATATTGTTAGAAATATATAATATATTTATATATATAAATATAAATATATAAAAATAGAAGAATATATAAATATATTTGTTATATTTTTATAAATATAAATATATTTATATATTTATATAATTAATTATATATAATATAGTAATTAAATATATTGTATATATTTATATACAATAAATATTGTAATTTACTAATAATATTAATAATATTAATATCAAACTAATAAATATTCCAGTAAATTTCAGATACTGGAACTTGGGATTTTTGACACCAGTATATCTCCAGTTTACCACAGATATAAAAATGACCTTGCTCACTTTTAACCATCCCAAACCACATTAAGCAGTTCCTACTTCCGCACTTGGAAACATCTATCCCTAATAGCCCTGTGTGGCAAATATACCATACAAAAATCAAATATTTTTTTTTTTAATTAATTTCTTAGCTGGAGATGCTGAACACAGAGGTTGCAAGAGATGTCTGGCTCCAGAAAGGTGACGACTGGAGGAAATAGCTGCGAGCTGCTGTGACCAGAGACTTCCTGGTGGGTGCTGGGGGAGCGAGAACACGAGAGAGGGATGAGGAGGAGATGTAGGTGCACAGCTCGGAACAAACCGGAGCTGCAAACCACATCCTGCAGCATCTGAGCGGGGCAGCTCAGCTGGTTCGCGGGGAAACAGGAAATCCAGCGGCCTGGGCGTCCCTCCTGAGGGACACCGTGAACACGGTGCTGGGGTCGTGGGTGAGCTTGGGGATCTTTTCCATCCCGTGGTGATTTTCCTGGGAACACAGTGCAGGGGTCATGGGTGGGCTTGGTGATCTTTTCCAGCTCAAAGTTTCTCATCCCATGGTTATCTTCCAGTGCTGGGTTCATTATTGGACTTGGTGATCTTTTCCATGGTTATTTTCCTGAGATCACGGTGCTGGGTTGATGGCAGGACTTGGTAACCTTTTCCAGCTCTGAGTTTTCCATCCCATTATTATTTTCCAGTCCTGGGTTCATGGCTGGACTTGGTGATCTTTTCCAGCTCCAAGTTTTACATCCCATGGTTATTTTCTTGAGAGCACAGTGCTGGGCTGATGATTGGACTTGGTGATCTTTTCATCCTGTGGTTATTTTCCTGGGAACATGGTAGTGGGTTCATGGCTAGACTTGGTGATCTTTTCCATCCCATGTTGATTTTCCTGAGAACACAGTGCTGGGGTCATGGTTGGACTTTGGGTTGATGGTTGGACTTGGTGATCTTTTCCATCTCCAAGTTTTCTATCCTGTGGTGATTTTCCTGGAACACAGTGCTGAGTTCATTATTGGACTTGGTGATCTTTTCCATCCCATGGTAATTTTCCAGGGAACACGGTGCTGGGTTGATGGCTGGACTTGGTGATATTTTCCTCTTCTGAGTTTTCCATCCTGTGATTATTTTCCTGAGAACACGGTACTGGGTTCATGGTTGGACTTGATGATCTTTTCCAGCCCATGGTTATTTTCCAGGGAACACTGTGCTGGGTTGATGGCTGGACTTGGTGATATTTTCCAGCTCTCAGCTTTTCCATCCTGTGATTATTTTCCTGAGAACACAGTGCTGGGTTCATGGTTGAACTTGGTGATCTTTTCCATCCTGTGGTGATTTTCCTGGGAACACAATGCTGGGTGGATGGCAGGACTTGGTGATTTTTTCCAGCTCCAAGTTTTCCATCCCATGATTATTTTCCAGTCCTGGACTGATGGCAGGACTTGGTGATCTTTTCCAGCTCTGAGCTTTTCCATCCTGTGATTTTCCTGAGAACACAGTGCTGGGGTCATGGTTTGATTTGGTGATCTTTTCCATCCCGTGGTGATTTTCCTGAGAACACAGTGCTGGGTTGATGGCTGGACTTGGTGATCTTTTCCATCCTGTGATGATTTTCCTGAGAACACAGTGCTGGGGTCATGGTTGGACTTTGGGTTGATTGTTGGACTTGGTGATCTTATCCAGCTCCCAGCTTTTCCATCCCGTGGTGATTTTCTTGACATATTGTGAGAGACTGGTTTGTGGCTTAGACATTTCTAAAATCATCAAAGTGCTTTTGCCCACTGTGGCAAACTGGAATTGCTGTCCAGCTGTGACCACCAGAGCCACCCCTCCCCAAACACCTCCAAGTGGAATGCTGGATTTTGAAGCTGGGATAAAACAAAGGTGGTACTTTCATCCAATTATCCCAGATCTGGGAAGAAGAACGGACCCACAAGGATATTGGAAGAGAGATTGATGTTGCCAGCTCAAACAATCAAGGGCGAGTTATGATGTGCAAAAGCCACTGATAAGGGAATTTTTTATCAAGGGCACTGCCTCTTTGTCCCTGCTCCAGGGAACTCTGCTGGGATAATTCCCCTGCCCTGGAATATCGGGATATTCACAGCTCCAGGGAACTCTGCTGGGATAATTCCCCTGCCCTGGAATATCGGGATATTCGCAGCTAGCCCCGAGGCGTTCACCTCGGCCATAAAGGGCCATCCTGGGCCACAGGGACTGAACTGTGCCGATACAAAAGGCAGCTGCATCATCTCTGAAGGTGTCAAAGAGGCCCGAAGTGTTCCACAGGATTCCATCATCCAGGGTGATGGAACTCCCCGCTCCAGAGGAGGCACCTGGAGTGAATACAAACCCAGATTTTCGTGTTCTGCGCATTTCTCCCGCCACCTCTTCGGGATTTCCCCTCATCCCCAGGTGGATCCACTCTGTGACCACCAGTTGGAGCAACAGACAGTGGGATTGCAACAACCAGTTCTCACCACGAGACCTGTGGGTGGTGAGATCTTTCTCCTCTTATCCTTTCCATCTTTTCTCATATCACATTTTCTTAAGTGTTACTTTAATGCTTCTGTGTTGTCATGTTACTGTAGATAATAACAGCCAAAATGGCTGCATGGCTGTTTTCCTCTGCAACCAAATTGCTCTTAAATAAACCTTTCTAATAAATATATATTTAATTTTTTCCCTCCAAACATCAATTTTACCCTTGGCTTTCTAGGGTGGGTAAAACAAACCCAGTGGAGTTTGCAGCAAGCTACAAATGACAGCAGCTGGCTGACAAGCAATGCCACCAGTTATGATTTTTCCCTGGTCAAAAACTCCTCAGAAAGGGAAAGTTTTAGGCTGGAGAAACAGGATTTATTGGCTTGCTTTGATGATAATTGGCTGTTACCTGGAACTGGAAGGAACTGGAAGCTGGAGGTGTGGAAAGGCCTGGGAGAGATGCAGAGCTCCTCTCAAGGTGGTGCTTCATGATTTCCCCAGGGCTGTGTTGAACTCCCGTGGAGGAAATGCAGCACAAGTGACACTGAGCTGTGACACGGAGCTTGTGGTGTCCAGCCAGGATGTTTGGGCTGAGAATGGTGACAGTGAGTGACAGCCATCACCACTCTGCTGGGGGTAACAGAGTCCCTGACAAGGCCTAAATCACATTCCCAGGATCATTTGGGATGGAAAACACCTCCAAGATCATCCAGTCCAAGCTGTGACTGACCCCACCTTGTACCCAGCCCAGAGCACTGAGTGCCACCTCCAGCCCTTCCTTGGACACCTCCAGGGATGGGCACTCCAAACCTCCCTGGGCACTTCCAGGGCCACCCTTTCCATGGGGAAATTCCTGCTGCTGCCCACCCTGAGCCTCCCCTGGCCCATCCTGAGGCCGTTCCCTCTCCTCCTGTCCCCGTTCCCTGGGATAAGATCCCAAATCCCCCCTGGCTGTCCCCTCCTGGCAGGGAGTTGTACAGAGCCAGAAATTCCCCCTGATCCCCCTTTTCTCCGGGCTGAGCCCCTTCCCAGCTCTCTCAGCTTCTCCTCACATGACTCCTTCAATCCCTCCTGAGCTCAGGGAGGTCTCAGGGACTCACCCCATCCATAAGGAATGGCAGCAGGGTGGGTAAACCCAGCCCCAGCTCAGCCCTGCCGAGGCACAGCGCTCCATCCTTCAGGCTGAGGGGCCACAGCTGGAGTGACAATGGCACAGTGTCCCCTGCCACCCTCACTGGGCACAAACCACCATCAAAGTGCCTTTGGACACAGAAAATATTTCAGCTGACCACAGCAGAGGTTAGGGTGGATTTAATCACAAAGCAAAGTCTTCACAGGGCGAGTCTGATTTTCACTTCTTTTTCTTCCCCTTCTTTTTGAGAGAGCCAGGCCAGGGATAACCCCGGAATTCCAGGAAGGCAGCGGCGTTGTGAGAGATGTAGTAAGCATTGAGCATGGCAGCTGGGCTGAAGATATCCACTCCTTTCACCTGCCTCCTTCCACGCTTTCTGGATCTTCTGCCTTTCCCACCCTTGCGTTTCTTGCCTTTGCCCGCCTGCAGAGAGAAAACGACCACAAACCCACTCGGTTTTGGGTCTTTGCTGTCTCACTTTTGGGTGGAGGATTCCAGGCTGAGAGAGCTGGGGGTGCTCAGCCTGGAGAAGGCTCCAGGGAGAGCTTCCAGCACATTCCAGGGCCTGGAGGGGCTCCAGGAGAGCTGGAATTTGGGAAAGGCCTGGAGGGACAGGACACAGGGAACGGATCCCAGTGCCAGAGGGCAAGGATGGATGGGATCTTGGGAAGGAATTCCCAGAGCGGCTGTGGCTGCCCCTGGATCCCTGGAATTGTCCAAGGCCAGACTGGACACTGGGGCTGGGTGCAGCCTGGGACAGCTGGGAATGTGGTTGGAAGGAGATGAGCTTTAAGGTCCTTCCAGCCCAAACCATTCCATGATTCCATGATCCCAAGACATCCCAGAGCAGCTGTTTTGTTCCATCTTAGCCCTGGCTCGCAGCATTAGCTCAGAGCCCCTCACCTCACTTTGTGGTGATTTTTATGTAAGGATTCACAAGCATTAATACAACTTTAATTAATTAAATTTAATCAATTAATTAATTCACCCAATCCCTGTTTGCTCTACAGGCTGTGAGAACCTCTAAAGCCATCAGACTGAGCTCATCATCATCCCCCTGTGCTTCCATCTGGCTAAAAAAAAAAAAGGTTTGCGCACAAAAGTTCTTTTCCACCTATTGTTTTTTGTTTTTTTAATTACTACACGAGGATGCAATCCTGAAGTAACTCTGCCTGTGTTCATCCGTTCCTGTGTGCCTGCTTGTGACTCTTGAATCAGGAAAGCAGGACTCCCTCCCACAGTTCCCACAGAGCTGGGATGGAGCTGCTCTCCCACCACTGGTGGTTACACAAATCCAAACCCACGTAGCGCATTTTCCACGTCATCATTTCTAAAAACTCCCGTCACAGCTCAGCACTGAGGGCAAAAGAGACAAACATTTGTGCTCTGAGGTGTGAGAACAGAGTAAAGGGCAAAATCCTCAGAATCAGCCGGGAGCACAGCATGAAAGAATGTGAACAGCTAAAGAAATATTAATAAATCAAATTTTCTATGTAAAACACACAGACCCTCTATTACAGAAGCAAAAAAGAGAGAAAATAAGAGTGTAAACTGCAGCTGTTGGCAGATTATTTGCAGAATGAAACTATCTGAGCTCAGACATAGGTTTGGGATGGCAACAAGCCTCTTTCACAAACCTTAATCGGAGAGAATTTGTGGAAATCTGTGGTCTTTCACAAACCTTAATCGAAGAGAATTTGTGGAAATCTGTGGAATTTTACATGCTGGAATGTGCCCCCTTTCACAGGGACATGCTTGTGCCAGATTTTGTAGCCAGCCAGCCACCTGAGTCCCATTCCTTCTTTGCCCAGTGTCTCTGGTGGATTTTGTGAGCACTTGGAGGTTCCTGGTAGGAATTCAGCCTGTAGCTGATCTTCCCAAATATAAAAGATTTGATATATATAAAATATATAAAAATAAAAAAGACAGAGCTTGCAGGCTCTATATGTAATGTACAAAATTTTACAGCCTGAAGCCAAGAACAAGAAAAGCTAAAAAATCAGAATTAGGTTTACACTTGAACACAAAGGTAATTTGGGCAAGTCAGTTCTGTCCTGCAGCTGTGGGAAGGAAATTTTTGGTTAAAAACAAGGACCTTTTTCCTTAAAAAAGTGTTACCAACACTTCTGAAGGATCAAAGGTGTTTTACCATGGCTGAGTCTTTTCACAGAGCAGCCAGGACTCCACATCAAGCCCTGGAGATGGATCCTGCAACACAAAATTACATGGTTAGTGTAAAGCTCCTGTGTCTGTGTAGGACCCCACTAAACTTTGAAGCAAAAAAGGGAAAAAATAGTTACTCCCTTGCAAAAACAGGTCGAGGTGGGTCATCCCTAAAAGCTGACGCTCACCTGTGAAATCAGCTGCTAATTGTCAAATTTCAAGACTCTGAGCTTTCCAGCAAAGCCCTCGAGGTTTACAATCACAGAATCCTGGACAAGAGCTCCAAGACCAAGTCCAGCCGCTCCCCAGCGCTGCCAGGGCTACCACCGACCCCAAGTGTCCCCAAGTGTCCCCAAGTGCCACATCCACGTGGCTTTGAAATCCCTCCGGGGCTGGGGACTCCATCCAACCCTGCGGCTGTGCGAGGGCTGGGAAACTCTTTTAGGGCAGGAATTTTCCCCATATCCAGCCTCAACCTCTGGCACAACTTGAGGCTGTTTCCTCCTGTTCTGTCCCTGTGCCCTGGCAGCAGAGCTCGACCCTCAATTGGCTGCACCCTCCTGTCAGGGAGTTGTAATGAGCGAGCAGGTCCTTCCTGAACCTCCTTTTCTCCCGCGGCTGCCCCAGCTCCACCTGCCTCACCGCGCCGTGTAGAAATGGCAGAATCTCACCCTCCTATGCCCACATCACGGCGGCTCTTCAGCGATCCCGACCCCTCTTCCCCCGCAGAGCCGCCATGGCCGCCTCTCCTTCCCCTCAGCGTCGCGTTGTCATAGCTACCTCGGGGGCGGGGGTCTGATATTGATTGACAGCTCGATGTCCAATCCACTACTGACGAGACCGCCCATTGCCCAATCAGATGCCGGGGCGGTGCCCGCGCGCGCTTCCCGCCGCGGCGGTCGCCGTGGGGAAAAGGGCGGGAAAAGCTCTGATGGGGATGAGGGACCTGAGGGGGGCGGCCGCCGCCATTACCGCCCTTGTACCACCCACAGCCAAAAGCCGCAGGGAAATGTCACAAGGAGGCGAGAAAACCCCCAGCACAACAACTTCGAGCTGCGAGGAGGAGTGGAACAAGTCGTGCTTTCCCAAAGGTCTTGGAAAGATTGGCGTTTGGTGGACTATTAGTGGAATATTCACGTTATTGCTGCGTGACACGGGGGAGTCCGTTTAAATACCTGACTCAGCTTCCTTCACCACAAAAATATTTTAAAAAAACCCCTCTGCTTTGCCTTCTTGCAGAGCCACAGCTCTGGACAGCAGGCCCTGAAAATTACGTGTAATGGAGGTTGAATATTTCCAATAAATTCCCATAAACTGAGGCTTGAGACGCAGGGAATAGATGGAGGTGGAGGGGTCTGAGGGAGGAATAGGAACATGAAGGGTTCATTTTGTTCTCTGCACCTTTTTCGGACACAACAGTTTTATCCAAGGGTAGTAATGCTTCTAAAGGCAGGGTGATTTTTAAATTTGGGAAAAAAATATAGGAGAGAGGAGTCTCTCCTGATGCCACAGCTCCAGGTTTTCACTTGCAAAGCACTAAAAAAATAGGCACAAGTGTAAAATATCAGTAGGAGCTGAAATCCCTCATAGAAAAAAAAATAAATAATTGCAGTATTGCCAAACTCCAACAAACACATCAGCAAGTCTGCCTAGATCATGGGTTTATTTTTATCTTTAACCTCTCTAAATGTGCTCTCTGCTGCTCCACTTTGTTCAGGGAAACTTTGTGTCATTTGCATTAACAAACCACACGGCACATAAGAAACAATTGTAATTACATTAATTATCTCCTTTTAGCAAAGACGATTGCCAGGAGGCCATATCATAATTATTGAGGCAAAAATGAAGGTGCAGAGCGGTGAAATATTCAGTCAAGGAGACAAAAATCGTCCTGTGCTGTCAAGTGTAATGTTTGGTGACAGTGCTTGGACCTGGCTGCAGAACAAGCTGCTGTTTACACATGCGAGGCTTTGATAAATTATTAAGGGAAGCTTCTCAAACTCCAGAGGATAATCAGCCTGACCTCATACAGTCATTTCTGTGGTTACATGTGGATAAATACAGAGTCAGTCAGGACACAGGAGAAAAAGGAGGGGTATTTATTTTTAACACTGCCAAACTGAATGGATAAAGGAAAAATTCCCCCCTTTTTTTTTCTTTTTGGGATCACTGTCTCTTTTTACACTTCTGAAAGGAACTTTGTGTCTTTGTAGCCTTTTATCCTTCATGGAAATTTGCATTAAATTCACCAACCAGCTCGAAAGTTGCTTAGAGAAGAGTGAGAAATTAATAACTCAATTCCATGTTTTACATCCCTAGGAAATGGGAAGAATCGACAAGAAAACAGAATAATCTGTGCTGAGGTGCTGAAGGAAAGGACTTACCCATAGCAAAACCTTCATCAACCACCTGTAAGGTGAAAACAACAAAAAAAACTTCTTTATTGCAATTACACCAAGAACTGGGAACACTGGAGGGTTCCTGGAACCAACAGTCCTGTTGAGGTGAGATAACAGATGTTCCTCCAGCTGTGCAGAAACCACCCAAAACTTGGCTCTGAAACTGCCTTGCTGAACATATAAAATGATTATTCCTTAATTGCTGCCCCCCAGCTCTTTTGAGATTTTTTTAAAGAGGAGAAAATCCTCATTGTGAAGCAAAAAAAGTTTGAAACTGCTGCTTGCTTGTCAGGATGGGACATAAATATTTCAAATAAAGGTGTAGCCTCTCCCTAAGTCACTTTTTTATGCAGAGGTTCAGGTTTTCTGTGGAGATCTCTCTCTGGGAAGCAGAAAATTTGGTGGTGATGGTGTGAATAAATTTTAGTCCAGGATAAGTTTGTCCCATCCTCCACCACCCAGACATTCAGGTAAGAATTTGTGTTTCTAATCTCTCTCAGTAAAAATAACAGGCACTGAAAAGCACAATTTAAATATAAAATATAGGAAAATGCACGTTGGGTATGTACTGGTTATTTTTTCTTTTCAACACACTGTGGAGAAAAAAGACACTTTAGGGGGAAAAAAAAGGGTTTAAACCAAATACCTTGGGTTTTTTGGCTTTTCTAAGTTTCTTTAGTAATTTGTTTAATTTCCCCTTGAGTGGAGATGGGCAGGGGTGAGGCCTGAGTTTGGGGGATGTTTTTGTCCTTAGAAAAAATAATAAAAAAGTAGCATTTAAATTAAGACACAGGAAGAAAAAGCTTAAATAAAGAGCTGTCCTTTAAAAGTTGGTTTATTTTGAACAAAAGCATATTTTAAAAGCATATTTTAAAAGGTTTAATGCCATTTCCATGAACAAGGCCTTGGACAAACCCCATGAAGGAAACATTCCCAGGTTAATTAATTATTTAAGCAATTAGCACAAATCCTGCCATAACAAACACTTGTTTATTTAGGGCCTCCCTGCCCTATATGAACACACGATGCTTTGACAAATGCCACCCTCATGCAACGCTGGTTTACCCAAGTGTAGTGTTCATTATTTAATTTAAATATTAAGTTATTAAACCGATACAAAATTTACAGCTCAGTATCCTATTCATTCTGAAAGCTATGGACCACAGAATCCACTCTTTTCCTCACAAATCCTTCACCAAAGCACTTTTCCCTCCCCACTCGAAGACCTGGCACAGACATTCCCCCAAACAACCAAAAAATCTGTGTTAAAACGGGATTATTTAAAGTGGTATTTGTTGTCTCCTCAGGGCTGAAGAGGGGCAGAGAAAGGGGCAGAGAAATGGGACCTCCAAGCTCTAAACGCTGCCCAGCACAGCAGGGTGGTTGAATAAAGGTGAGTGAAGGAGAGCACAAGTGAAAAGGTGACGGGTGGGTGTCCAGGGGACCACGCAGGACCCATCCCTGGTGGCACCAGGACTCTCAGCCAGGGACAACACGGAATGTTGTCTCCATCCCAAGCCAAGCTGTGCTCCTGGGACCCCGGGGCTGGTGTTGGGAGCACATCAGCAGCCAGCCAGAACTGAACAGAACCAAACAAACGAGGAACAGCGTGGGAGGGATGGAATTCCCAGCTGGAATCCTTACACCAAGCTTAGAGACACACCTGAGCTTGCTCTGGAACCTGCTCCATGCCCTCTGCCAACACTTTCCAGCCTCCAAGAACTCACAGGAGCCTCCAAAAAGAGGTGTCAGCTAGGCACAGAGACACCTGGTCTCTTTGGAAAGTTTAAATTTATTTATTTCCCCCCCACAGCTGTGCTTAAACCCCCCCCCCATATCCAACCCAATGCTCCTCTCGGGGTCACTGGCAGTGCAGTAGCTCCTCCCAACGAATGGGCTGTGAAAACACCTCCCGCTCCAGCCAGAGCTCGTAGGAGTAGTGGAAGTCCTCGGGCAGCTCCAGGCGCTGGCCCAGCACGCTCTGCAGGCAGTTGTCCACCGGGGCGAACTCCGAGTCCTGCGGCTTGTCGTACCTGCGGCTGTTGAAGGCTTCAATGTTGGCCCTCAGCGTGCACTCCTCAGCCTGGAAATCCCACGGCCTGGCGTCGATATCTGCGGTGGGGGAGGAACAGCACCCAAATAGCGCAGAAAGCATCGCTCTGACAAGGTCTGAGCAAAGGAAAGGCTGAAGGTTTCAAGTGGATTAACCAGAGACACTCCTAATTATTATTGTTGCTAACCAAATCCCACTATGTGTGTATTTTAATTTAAGATAGCCCATAAAAATTTAATTTTTTCTGCTTTAAGGACTTCATAATTATCCAGCCCTTGGCTTTTTTTTCCACAAAGACCTCACTTCTAGTTTCACTTTTCTATTTTTCTTCTATTTTTCTTCTATTCTTATTTTTATTCTATTTATCAATATATTTTTATTTTTCTTCTATTTTTCTTCTATTCTTATTCTATTCTTATTTTTATTCTATTTATCATTGTATTTCTATTTTTCTTCTATTTTTCTTCTTATTTTCCATTTATCAATATATTTTTATTTTTCTTCTATTTTTCTTCTATTCTTATTTTTCTTCTATTTATCAATATCTTCTTACTCTTATTCTAGTCTTATTTTTATTCTATTTATATCTTCTTATTTTTATTCTATTTTTATTCTATTCTTATTCTATCCTTATTCTATTCTTATTTTTATTCTATTTATCAATGCATTTTTATTTTTCTTCTATTCTTAGTTTTATTCTATTTATCAATATCTTCTTACTCTTATTCTATTCTTATCTTTATTCTATTTATATCTTCTTATTTTTATTCTATTTTTATTCTATTCTTATTCTATCCTTATTCTATTCTTATTTTTATTCTATTTATCAATGCATTTTTATTTTTCTTCTATTCTTATTTTTATTCTATTTATCAATATCTTCTTACTCTTATTCTATTCTTATCTTTATTCTATTTATATCTTCTTATTTTTATTCTATTCTTATTCTATTCTTATTTTTCTTCTATTTATATCTTCTTATATTTATTCCATTCTTATTCTATTCTTATTCTATTCTTATTTTTATTCTATTTATAAATATCTTATTCTATTTTTATTCTTATTCTATTTTTCTTATTTATTATTTCACCTTTCTATTTTCCTTTTTTAATTTCACTTTTCACTGAAAATCTCCACTGACCACCGAAGCAAGGATCGACATTTAAAACATTTAAAACCTGGTGAGCTTATTATGAGCTCCTAACCAATTTTTTTTCCCAAAATCTGGGCAAACATAACTACAAACAACGCTGAAAAGCTGCACCAACCACGACATCCCATATCACATAAACATGGAAAAAAAAAAAAAAATCCCATTATTTTCAAACCTGGCTTTCACGACATCTGACAGTGCAGAATGATGCCAATAAAACTTCCCCAAAAAATCCCCGCCAGCGACAATTTTAGAAGCCAAATTTGGAAGCCAATTTGCAATTGGAAATTTGCAAATTTGGAAGCAAATCTGGAAGCCAGAGGGGCGAGGCCGGGCAGGACTCACCGTTGCCGTAGGCCCAGTCGTCGTTCATGCGGTGCCGCACCTTCTGGTAGATGGCAGACATGGTCTTCATGTTGCTCTTCCTCCACTGCCGCCCCAGGTACTTGGTCTGGATTTTCAGCAGCTTGAGCACGTAGAGCTGCATCATGGCCTGCTTCACCTTCAGAGCGTAAACACCACCAGCATCTGACGGGAAATCGGGAATGAGAGCAGAGCCGACGCCGTCTGTGCCGCTTCGGGCACCGACACCGCGGCCTCGTACGCCACAAACCCCCAGGAGGGAGAACGGGAGCGCCCAGCACGAGCAACGCCCTCTGCATGGGGCTTGAGGGTGGTAGAAATAATGTTATTTGTGGGAAAAAAGAGTATTTCTACATTTAAGGCTCAGTCTGTGGAAGGAAAAAGGGAAGAGGATGAAAAGCAGAAGCTGCAGCACTTCCACAAGAAATTCTGAGCACAAGGCTGGGCTGAACTTGCTGTGTAGAGCCAGGAACATGCTCCAGGTGAAACGCCGGAGGGTCTCAAGGAGGGGGACACCCCCTTACCATTGTCCTCGAGTGTTTCCACTTGGTCAGCTTGTTGAGGATCCTCAGCAAGTTAATGCAGGAGAACAAATTCCTCCAGCAGAACTGGTTGTTGTCTCCGGCTTCCTGCAAGGGGAGAAGTGCAACCCTGACCACAGCGTTCATCAGCACCGCCACAGAGATGTCTTTGGGCAGAAATCTTTGTTTTTATTGTCTGCACAAGTCTTGTTTCTGAGGGAGGACAAGCAGCAGAGCTGTCTCCTCACCTGGGTTATCATCAGCAGATTCTGGGGAAAGCCATTCTGAAACACTCCAATTTTAATCTGCTTTTAATTTAGAGTAAGAGCTAAAAATGGGATAAATCCCATTATTCTATCATGGGAAATATATTTTGTGGTAGATTTTTATTCCTTGTTTACAGCCAGAGAGCAAATTGCAGCCTGGTGATCACCACTGCTTTTGGTAAGGGTATAAATTAATTCATGCTTAGGGCACACACTACAGACCAGTAAAAGGAAATCACAAATCAACACAGGATGACAAATAGCAACGTTTGTATCAAGAGGATGAAACCTTTCTGTAACAAAAAATCCCCTCCAGCTTAAGTGCTGCTGAGACATTGTTTTAAATACTCGGTAACTGTAAACACCCCAGCTCCAGCCTGTGGAAATAATGCCCCTGGCACTTTGAGCAGTAATTCCACCACTGCAGGAACTTGCTCCATGTTAGAACAACTCCGAGCACGGGAGAAATACCCCACAAAAATCCAGTTTGGGGATTAGTGCAAAACAAGGGCTGCTGAATTTATAAACCACTCACAGCCAACTACAGCCTTCTTATCTCGGGGCAAAACCTCGACGCATTCCAGGATCTGGGCACCCTCGGGAAGAGTTTGGGGGAGCCCTTCTGTCAGTGTCCAATCCAGCTTTGAAAGCAGATTTACCCAAGAAAATCCCACCAGCACAACTTTGCTTTTAAAGGCAAGTGACAAACAGAATCAAGGAATCCCTGAGGCTGGAAAAGCTCTCCAAGGTCACCGAGTCCAAGCTGTGCCTGATCCCCACCTTGTCCCCAGAGCCCTGAGTGCCACCTCCAGGGGTGGGGACTCCAAACCTCCCTGGGCAGCTCCTTCCAATGCCCGAGAGGCATCCAGAGGTGGGATGTCACCGGAATGTCACCAGGATGTCACTGAGGTGCTCGTGGATGCTGTCTGGTATTTTGGGGGGGGTCCCAAACTGCAGTAGCCCTGCAGTGTCACATCGTGCCCAGGCCTTACCTGCATCCTCCACACAAAGTAATTTTCCCAAAGATCCCATATAAGCCAATATCCATTTCTTAGGCTGGATTTATTTGTCACCAGTCTGATGTTGTCTCTTCGAGTAGGGTAAGGTTCTTTCCACCAGATTTATGGAAGGAGAAGATAGGCTAAACAGACCTTAATACCCTTTCTAAGGGATGGATGAAACCCTTTGCAGACCCCTCTGGAGTGACAGGAGAGGGGAGATGGGGACTGGCCAGGATTTGAAGAGCCTTTCCCAGAAGAGAGTGGGTGAATCCCTCAGCACCTCAACCCACTCCTGATTTACTCCAGGTAGTGACAGCAGTTACCCCACAGGCCCCTCCTGGTGAGACAGCAGTGCTGGACTCGTCCTGGTTCTCCTTGACACACATCACCATGCTCACCCCACTGAGAGCAGAATCATCTGTTCCATCCTCTAAGAAATGTGTTACACTGGGATGTTAAAATCGCTCATCAGAGTGGTAAAAAAAAGCTAAAACAACACATGAAGTGCTGGCTGAAGGAATACAAAAATGTACGCCTCGAGTACCAGGGTGTGTCTAATTCCTATTAAATCCTTATCTCCACGGGTATCCTCCCAAAGACCAACCCTCCTGGCAAAATTCAAGTTGTTTGCCGCGTATTTTCTAATTAAATTGCTCTCCCTTGGGGATAACATCCGCGTCTGCTGGAGGAAAGTGAAAGGTAATGTCCTTGAAGGTGACAGCTCTCAAACTGTCAAGACCCTACTGGGAATATTTTCCCTAAAAGCATTCAGTTTTCTCTGACAGCCTAAAGGCTGATTGGGAGGATTAGCACGAGCCACGGAGCCCTCAGTGATGTGTCACTAGATGTCCCCATCGGTCCAGGATACCACGGAGTCTGGCAGGGCTGGATGGGGACACCCAGCCTTCAGCAGCCCCTGGACCGAGGGAAAATCTTTCCCTCTGATGATTTTGACCTTTACACACCTCAGGAAAACAACACAGGCCTCAGATTGCTGCAGCACCATGAGATCATCCCTGCCCAGACTGGATTTGCTCAGGATCCTTTTTAATGATTCCTGGTCCATTATTTCCTGTTAACTCCAAAGCTTTCCCTGGTGCTGACCGAGCCCAGCCTCCTCTGCACTCAAATTATTGTAGTTATGAACCTGCCAGCGTTACTATCCCACCTGCAGTCTGTGTATTTGCCCAGCCCATCCTGCTGGCCAGTCTCTGGAATACTTGAGGCTCCTCTCCATAGGGAGTTTGGTTCATTCCTTAAACCGGTATCTGATAAAACAGGAGTGCTCAGAGCAATTGAAACCTGGGAGGAAACAGCCTCTGGGTAAAGTCTCTTTCAAAGCAGAAGAGTTTTGTCTTGCCAGAACAAGAGGAAAGGGCCTCAAACTGTGCCCAGGGAGGCTCAGGAAGAATTCCATATGGAAAGGATGGTCAGGCCTCGGCAAGGGCT